GACCTGCGGGGGGGTGACAAGGTCGCCAGGCCAAACGGCGAAGTCATCAGCCTGCTCGACGTCTCGCCCTGACTCCTCAAGAGGGTACTCATCATGGACATAAAGGGCAGGCAGCTGCAGCAGCTCGCCCAAGACAGACATGCGGACATCGCCAACGGTGCCTTCGTCCAGCACGTCAGGCGGTGGGTCCACAGCGGCACGATCAGCACCCACGAGGCGAGGAAGTGGGAGGCGCTCAGCAGTGACTAGCGCGGCTACGTTCGCTCGCTGGTGGTGCAGGGGCAGTGGCCCGACGACGGACGCTGCCACGCCTCGCCGAGGCGTTCGACGACTCCGAGCTGCTGGCTCCGCTCCGGGGGTCCTGCACCTTGTGGCACAGGCACGCTGCTTGCCGGGAGAGTTGGCCGAGCTGGACGTTGCCAGCAGAGATCGCCAAGCTCGCCCCCTTCGGAAGCAGCGTCACCATCACGACGCTGGTAGAAAGGCTTATGCTCCCCGAGCCGATCCTTTCATGGAGACCGCCAGGCGACGACCGCTTGGCGCACGTGCAGTGGCTCAAGGGGGAGGACGGCGGCATGCCTTTTCGCCACCACGGAGCTCTACTCTGACGGGGCAGTCTACGAGGCGGGTACCTCGCTGGCCATCTCGGCGTGCGCGCTGGCCGAGCTGCGGCCAGGAGAGGCGCAGCACGACCCGGGACCGCGGTCTGCGGTCAGGGCCCTGGGCCCACCGCTCCCACGACGGGGCGGAGCTGCTGGCCTCGCTGGTCCTGCTGAAGCACTCACTCCCGCCCATCACGGTGGCCTTCGACACGTCCTGCGTCCCGAAGGGCATGCTGGTGAGGGGCCGCGAGGGCACCACCAAGGCCACACCGGCATGGGGATGCATGTGGAGGCGCATCTGGAAGGCGCTCGACGACTTCGGCGGGCTGGGCGAGAACGGCCTCACCATCAAGAAGGTGAAGGGGCACGCCACCCTCAAGGACGCCAACGAGGGGGCCATCACGAGGCGCGACCGCCGCGGCAACGTGGAGGCCGACAGGTGCGCGAAATTCGTGGCGCAGACCTTCAGGGCGCCAGAGGGGGCCCACGCGGCCCGCGAGCGCAGGGCCGCAGGGCACTCACCTTGGACGGGGTGGTCCACTGGGTGGGGCGCGCTGGCGACGAGGCGGTCCAGTCGCGCACTGACTTAGACGCGATCGCCGCATGGAGGTCAAGAAGGGGCCGCCCCTCAGCGTGACGAAGCACGACCCTATCATGATCGAGAACGGCGGCTACCAGTGCAGGCGCTGCCTGCGCACGGCCTGGTCGGATCAGGGGTTCAAGAAGCTGCTGGGGCACCAGTGCAACGTCAAGGCCTTCGCCCCAGGCGTCAACGGGGTCAAGCGGAAGCCTGGCGTCTAAGCCCTGCCGGCTGCGAGCGCAGTGGCCGTGGCCCTGGCGGCGGCGGCGAGGCTGGAGCGCGAGGAGGGCCAGAGGCAGCAGACGGCCGAAGCCGCTGCCTCCTCCGCTGGCGCCAGCTCGTTCGCCAACTCGCCCCCTGAACCGGAGGCCGTGGCGACGGCTGGGGGGCTCCACGGCACGGGCGCCGAGGGCATCACGGACAGCCACGACCTGGAGACGGTCAACGGCTACAGGATCTGCAGGCGGTGCTGGTGCCACGCCAGGGTCCAGCGCGGCAAGCACAGGCAGCTCAGTGGTGCCTGCCAGCCTGTTGCTGGGCCTTCCCTGCACGCCCGCATGCGCAAGGTCAGAAACATCAAAGACGGGCTGGAGCCGAGATCCAGCAAGCCGCTGGAACACCTCGTCACTAACTCCTAGCGAGGCGTGCCTCTCAGCGGAGGTGAGCGTGTGTGTGCAGGCCCTCTCTGCCATGTTAGCGAGGCGCGAGCGGGCTGCGCCTTTCCGCGGCCCCGTGGTTGCCCGGGGCGCCCTGTGCGCAAGGCACCTGCAGAGCTCAGCGAGGCTGCCACCTTGGGTGGTCGAGATGTGGCTCTCTCGAGCGGACGGTGCTCGCAGCGAGCGCCGCGCAGGCCATGCGAAAGAAGGCCCCAGTGGCTGTGACCGCATGCGTCCGCGCCACCCAGTACAGCGCTTTGTGGCCCCATAGGGAGCTACACCGAAAGCCCCAGTGGCTGTCACCACATGCGTCCGCGCTACCCAGTACAGCGCGTCGTGGCCCAATAGGGAGCTCCACCGAAAGCCCCAGTGGCTGTGACCACATGCGTCCGCGCCACCCTGACCGCATGCGTCCGCGCCACGCAGTACAGCGCTTCGTGGCCCCATAGGGAGCTCCACCAAAGGCCCCCATTGCTGTGACCACATGAGTCCGCGCCACTCAGTACGGCGCTTCGTGGCCCCATGGGGGAGCTCCACCGAAGGCCCCAGTGGCTGTGACCACAGGCGTCCACGCCGCCCAGTACAGCGCCTCGTGGCCCCACAGGGAGCTCCACCGAAGGCCCCCATTGCCATTTTGGCTCAAGATGATTTGCACCGTGGCCTCCGAGCGGAGGCCGCTGGGCCACGGGCAGAACCACAATCGACGGCGCGCGCGTGGGTTCCCTTGCTTGCACTTGTTACACTGTGTCTGTCTCGACTGTGGCAGCGCCGTGGCAATGCCTATGTGGAGAGCTTCATCCAGCGACCCGCCTCAGGTGCGGAAAGGTCGGACGCGGTGGAGTGCGACCTCGGGCGCCTCGCCAGCCTCGGGTGTCTCGAGCACCACCCGCTCGCGAGCAGTGGGCTGGCGGCCCCCCGCGTCGCCCACGGGGGCATGATGGTAAGACCTTCAGCGGCGGCAACAACTACGGCTACGGATACGGAGGGAGGCGGCTGGGATCCCAAGAACGATAAGTCAGGGACCGGCAGCACCCTCACAGCAAAACAGGTCAAGACCTGGAGGACGTCACCAGTACAGCGCTTCGTGGCCCCATGGGGAGCTCCACCGAAGGCCCCAGAGACTGACCGAATGCGTCCGTGCCACCCAGTACAGCGCTTCGTGGCTCCATAGGGGAGCTCCACCGAAGGCCCCAGAGGCTGTGCCTCAGGCGTCCGCGCCACCCAGCACAGCGCTTCGTAGCCCCGCACAGAGCTCCACCGAAGGCCCCAGCGGCTGTGACCACAGGCGTCTCCCCCGACCCATTTCGACACGCCCCTCGCGCGTTTCGTGGCCTGCCCCTAGGGAGCTCCACCGAAGGCCTCGCGGCGGTGTCCACATGCTCCCCCCGCTCATGTCAGCATACCCCTCACAGGTCCCGTGGCCCCATGCGGAGCTTCCCCTCGTTCGTCCCACCTGCCTGGTGGCACTGACAATTTCATATGATTGGGTCCTTCGCCAGGATAGCTTTTTTGAAACACCAAAACAATTGCACGGGAGAGCAACGAGGTGGGCATGTAAAACTGACCTCCTCGGACTGCCAGAAGCCCGCCCGGATCTCTTGGATCGGTGCTGGATCCCTCTCGGGCGTTGCTGAAATAGGGGGGGCGATAAACGGGGGGGGAGGAAAAAGGGTGCGCGAAATGTGCACCTCTCTTCGCCCCCTGCTTGTCGCCCTCCCATCTGTTGGCGGCGAGCGAGGGGGGGAAAATGAGAAGGAGAAGGCCTTCTCAAAAGGCTCGGAAGTCCCCCGGCCTTCTGAGAAGTTCTCTAAACCTTCCCCGAAGACAGAAAAAACCTCTCGGGAGGCGCGAGGGCTTCTGAGAAGTCCCGCCGCCTTCACAGAAGGCCTCCTCCTTCTCATTTCACCCCCCTCGCTCGCCGCCGAATTTGAGCGGCGCCCGACCCCCTCCCTCGGAGGCGCCGCCCAGGCGCTGCCCTGTCTTCTGGGTGATCGCCGCCAGCATCGCGGCATGCCACGCCCAGGCACTTCCACGCGGGGGATGCCGAGCTCCCGCGGAGCCCCTGCGGAGGGGCATCCGGCGCCGATCCCAAGAGCCGAGGCCGAGCTCAGCCCGGGCCCCATCCTCAAGCCGAAGCCGAGAATCACAGAGTTCGCATGCCTGTGCCGCCCTTCTCTTCTCCGATTGGCGTCGGCTGAGCTGCCCTGAGGGCTGCACTAAACTGGCGCCCGCCGGAGCTCCTGTCGGGCGACACCAGCTGACCACCTGACCGAGCCTGGCCAGAGCCCTCCTGAGGAGGAGGATGAGGAGGAGGAGGAGGAGGAGGAGGAGGAGGACAAGGAGGACGAGGAGGACGAGGAGCGGGGGATGAGGAGGAAGAAGAGGAGGAGGAAGAGAGAAGAGCAGGAGGAGGAGGAGGAGGAGGAGGAGGAAGACGAAGAGGGGGGCCCAGGATCTGTGCACACGCCCTCCCCCCACAGACCCCCGCCATCATGGTTTCTTCACGACGTTGACCCCTTCAAGAGGTCTCGACAGGAGGTAGGGGGAGGGAGGGAGGCTCCCCAGAAGCAGGGGTGCTTCTAAGCAGCCTTCACCCCATCCACTTTATCCCCCTCTGCGCGTGGCCGACATTCCCCCGGGGCCGGCTTTTCATCCCGAGTGGTTTTTCCACTTCCCTGGGGCCCCGCAAGGGCCCCCCGAGGCCGAAGGTGGCAAACTCCCTTCCGCCGTGCCCGCTCCATGACGCGAGGGGGTCCTGGTCCTGGCCTGGCCAGGGAGGCGTGTGCGCACCGATCCCTTCGGGCCGAGCGAAAGGGGGGGGAATAGCAAAGGGGGGGGGTGAGAATCAGCTCACGTAGCTGATTTTCCCGGCGCCTCCCGGCGCCAGAGGCGCCCATGTATCCAGGCCGAAACCAGCTGCATGCAGCAGATTTCGTACCCCCCCCCCTTTCCCTATCCCCCCCTTTCGTTCGGCCCGATCCCTGTGCCCAGGATCGGGCCGGGGCCAGGGTCGGTGGGTGAGGTGGCCAGCTGCGCGCCGCCCGATCCTGGCTCTCATTGGCGTCGCCGCTGCCTCGCGACAACGGGCGAGGTGCGGCGGCGGGGACGAGCCGGTCCGGGCGGGCGTGTCGTGGACGACGGGGCGCGCCCCCGCGCCGCGCGTCACCCGTCCTTCCGGCCAGCCACAGCCCGAGGGAGCTGTCCTCCTTTAACGAGACGCCCTCGCCTCGCGAAAAAGTCACGGCGGGAGGACCTGGACGATTTTCGGATCGCGGAAAACGACTCGGGACGGCAAATCGGTCCCAGGGACTGGGTCGAGACCTCCAGGGGCCCACGTGACGTCGGGGGTCTGGGCACCCTCCTACGGAAGCTCGTCGTATCGACGACCTCTCGACAGGGACGGCGATGCCAGTGGGTCCCCCCAGGGGGGGGGGCCTGAGATCCGAAGTCGCGAGAAAAAGCCCAAGCATCCAAGAAAATCACGACCAGAGCCCAAGACCCCAACTTCCTGCGGCACTTCCCGAATCAGATTGCCGAAATCTGGGCGAAGACGCCCTGAAATCTGGGCGAAATCTGGGAGCAAAAATCGAAGCATCTAAGTAAATCAAGACCAGAGCCCAAGACCCCACCTTCCTGCGACACGTCCCGAGCGAGATTGCCGAAATCTGGGCGAAAACGCCCAGAGCGAACAAAAAAAATCGGCCCAAAATATCCGGCGGCATGTCGAGGCACGGGCCCCCGACCTCTCGGCCACTGCCCTGGGACTGGGTTTTCATCCGGGGTCGCTTTTTGACGGTCGCGAGGCCCAGTACGGGTCCCGAGAGGCCGCCGTCTCGATGTTGCGAAACGCCGGAGCTCTAGGGCGACGCCAGGGTCTCAGGGAAGCACCACAGCTCCCCCAGACGTGGCTGGTCTGTCCTTGTACTTCGTCGCCGAGGCCGCCCTGGCGAGGCCCACGTCGGCCAGGGTGCACTCGGTGTAGGAGCTCAGGGCGTGGGGGTGCATCCAGTATATCTCGGACGCCTCGCGAGGGAGGATGACAGTGCTGGTGCTGCTGCTGCTGCAGCAGCGGCAGCAGCAGTAGCACGACGACGACGACGACGACGACGACGACGACGACGACGACGACGACGACGGACGACGACGACGGACGACGACGACGACGACGACGACGACGACAACGACGATGATGATGATGATGATGTTGATGCTGGTGCTGGTGCTGATGTTGAGGATGAGGATGAGGATGAGGATGAGGATGAGGATGAGGATGAGGATGAGGATGAGGATGAGGATGAGGATGAGGATGAGGATGAGGATGAGGATGAGGATGAGGATGAGGATGAGGAAGGAGGGTGGATGGAACATCGAGAACCGCAGCGCCGTCTGGGGATCCTCGTGGAGCCACGCGGCGGAGAGAATGCTCAGCATACAGGTACAGCGGTACGAGTGTCCGCCCTGATCGGCGGCGAGCTTCGTGGGATCCCCCGCCCCCCCCTTTGCACTGTTGTCTATGTTCCCCCTGTCCCTGAGTAGTAGGGCGAATGCCCGCACAGGGCGAGGAGCAGGAGGGACGAGTGAGTGAGGGAGGAGGGAGGATGGAGGGACGAGGAAGAGGGAAGAGGGAGGGAGGAAGGGAGGGAGGGAGGAAGGAGGGAAGGAGGGGGGGTTAGGAGGGTTTCCCCTCTGGGCTGCCCCACAAGTCCCGTCCAAGAGTGGTGGTCCCTTTCCGGGAACATCCGAGGCCGTGGCGGGATGGATGGAGGAGGAAGATTGAAGAGGAAACCGGACGAAGGGAAGGAGGGAGGAGGGCGGGAAGTGGGAGGATACAATACCATCCCACATCCCCCCAAGACCCCGTAAGCCCCTCAGAGCCCTTTTTGAACTGAGCGAGGCCATTAAAATCATGATGATCATCATCATCATCGTCATCATCATCATCATCATCATCATCATCATCATCATCATCATCATCATCATCATCATCATCATCATCATCGTCAAAATCATCATCATCATCATCATCATCATCATCATCATCATCATCATCATCATCATCATCATCATCATCATCATCATCATCATAAGCAGCATCAGCATCATCATCATCATCCTCATCTTCATCGTCGTCCTCAACCTCATCAGAATCATCATCGTCATCAGCACCAGCATCATCATCATCATCATGATCAACATCATCAGCAGCAACAGCACCGTCATCCTCATCAGCATCATCACCATCATCAGCATCATCATCACCGACATCATCACCGGCATCATCCTTATCATCACCTGCATCATCATCAGCAGCAGCATCATCATCGTCGTCAGCATCATCATGAGCGCATCAGCATCATCACCTTCATCAGCATCAGCATCAGCAGCGGCGGCGGCAGAATCGTCATCATCACATGTATTATCATACGCGCCATTATCAGCACCATCGTCATCATCATCACCGTCATCATCATCAGCATCAGAATAGTCATCAGCATCATCGTCATCTGGTCATCATAATCATCAGCATCAAAATCATCAGCCTCCTACTCCGCGTCCCCACTATCGCCATCACCATCACCATCGCCATCATCACCAGCAACATCAGAATCGCCATCAGCATCCTCATCCTCATCATCATCATCATCATCATCATAATCATCATCATCACCAGCAACGTCATCATCAGCATCAGCATCGTCATCATCAGCATCGACAACCTCATCATCACACTCACAATCATCATCGTCAACATCATCATCGTCGTCACCGTCGTCGGCAGCAGCAGCGGCGACGTCGTCATCACCATCACCATCAGCATCATCAGCAGCATATGTAGTCTCATACGCATCACCATAAGCATCACCCCCATCATCATCAGCATCATTATCAGCATCAGCCTCATATCCCTCATCCTCAGTATCGCCATCACCATCAGCCTCTCCATCACCATCACCACCAACAGCATCCCTATCATCCTCATCAGCTTTATCGCCATATCCACCACGACCACCACCACCACGATCAGCAGCAGCATCATCATCATCATCATCATCATCATCATCATCATCATCATCATCATCATCATGGTCGTCATCATCAGCATCATCAGCATCATCAGCAGCATCATCAAAATCATCGCTACCATCATCATAGTCATCACCGTCGTGGTCGTCATCATCATCATCATCATCATCATCATCATCATCATCATCATCATCATCATCATCATCATCATCATAATCGCCAGCAGCATCAGCATCACCATCAGCAACATAATCATCATAATCACCGTCATCTCCATTATCATCCTCCTCTTAATCCCCATCCGCATCCTCCTCCTCCAGATCCTCCTCCCGCTCGCATCGTCCTCCTCATCGTCACTCTCCTCCTCCCCCTTTGCATAAACCATAGCTTCCCAGGCCTCTGGATGATGGAAGGTTTGTCCGGCACCCTGCGCTCTCGGAACATCCCCCGATGCACAAACGGTTGCGGAGGCAGGCGTGGGCGTCAGGCACTGGCCTGAGGCACATCCTGACAAAAACACTCCTCTCCAGCCTTTTTCAACTTCCAGCACCGCCTGCGACTGTCCCGACACTATGGCCACTCTCGCGCCATGGGGATGCCGGCCGCTGACAGGCTCCGCCCAATCTTTTGTACTGCCGCCTGGAGCTGGACGAGCCTAGTCTCCAGGCTCTCGACGCGGGAATCGATGTCCAACTGCTCAGAAACCTCGATCCGAAACTTGCGTCAAGTGCGGCACCTGCCGTCTAGAGGTCCATGACACGGTTGGACAAGTCACCGGAGTCGGAGCTTGTCCCTTGTGTCCGCACGCTCTCAGCGCCTTCCTCGAAACGCTGGACAAAATACTCGATCCACGCGGCCTGAGAGGCTCCGCCTGTCAGGGACAAATGAGTCAAACACCACCTGCAATAGATGCGATCATTGTTTCACACACCATCGTGAATCTTACCCCTGTGCGTTCCGAACCTGACGACTGCTGCCTCAGACTCCACCCCTTGGCCTTGAGCCGCGCCTGGTGCAGGCGCTCACTGAACTCTTGACCGCAACGGCATCCGACGGCGGTTCGGTCTTGACCATGTCAGGCTGGGTCGGACCGAGAATGCCGAATCGTTCGCTCAAGCTTGCGAATCGCAAGGTGCACTTGAACCGTATGGTCGGCTCGCACAACAACCATGCACAACATGTAAGTCGTGGTCGCCACACACGCAAACATAGGTAATATACAGTATGGTGTCGACACACAATCCACAGTACCCAACTACAGAGTAACACCTAGTTTCGCACACTGCCGTCACAATCGGAGGTCCTCCCTAGGTCCTAGTAGACTGCCCCTTTCGTCGCGCACCCCGCAATTTCCTGCTATCCCGCTCGTTGCCTTTAAAATCTAAAACGCGTTGCTCGTCGGCTAGCTGGAGACACATTTGCCTTGACGGTGCCGTAGATCGACTTACAATCGGTGACTATGATGGGCTACCGGGTGCTCATGCACGCGTCGAGGTTCCTCAAGTCGACGGGCCCCTCGAAGGCCTCATACAGCATGAGCGACATCCACTCCACAGCCGCACAACACGCTGAGGCCGCCTGGGCCTCTCCCGATAAAAAACTGGGCGCGAGTCGCTTCAGCCTGAAAGAACGCCATTCGAAAGGTGCCCACGAGGCTGCCTGTCAACTGCGCATCGCTGTGGAGGTGAAAGCCAGCACATATCCCGCCCGGGCGCCATTGTACTTCCCCGAGCCGCACCGAGATGAACCACCATCGTCAGCTCGTCCGGTAGAATAGTAAGCAAATTTGAGAGCGCGAGATCTGCATACTGTCTGGTTTAACGCGCCACGGCCGCACTCTGCATTAGCTCGCCAACCGCAGGTCGCGGAAAGCATCCCTGCCCAAAGGATACCTGGCAGGATAGGACGGGTCGTCTCTTTGCGCGCCCAACCACCCTCTCCGAAACACGATCGCCCACAGGCAATTTCGGCATCGGTCGCCGGTGCTGAAGGGCATCGCAGTTGATGTCGAGCGAAACGCGCCGGGCGCATTTCCTCCACTAACTTTGACTGATTCCCCAGGATGGCTTTGGTCGCTGGATCCCGAGTGTAGTTTGCGTCGCAGAATTCCCCCCGATGTATCTGCCATTTCTGAAACGGGGACCTTCCCTTCAACAGTCGCTTCGCGTCGTCATACAGCCCGCCACAGTCGCCAGTGATGCCGTCGCCCACACGGCGCGCAAGTGCACCAACGAGCACCCCTCGGTCTCGCAGGAAATACAGGCGCGGGCCAGGACGACTTGGGCAGAAACCATGTCGCAAATAACCGTCAAACTCCTGGAACCATTCGAGGGGGGCGTCGTTTCCCCGTAGAGATTCCCGGCCACCTCCAGAAGCTCCCCCTCGACATGTCCTGGTACCCCATTTCGGCAAAGTCGTAAAAATAGGCTCGCGACGCTCGATGCTCTTGGCTTCTGGAAACAAACAGTGCACATTGCCGAACTGCAGATCCCATGGCCGGCCACCATCTGCAGGCACGGCGCACGGCCAAAAGGTGTGATAGTCGGACTCTGGAGCTCGCCTCCATGGATGAGCGCGGGTAGGTCGGGGCCCAGGTACCCTCGCAAACACCATCGGGTCTCGACGCGAATCTCGAAACATTCTTCCGCATTCTCGGCCATCGCAAAAAGTCCTGGAATACACCCGCGGCCTCATGTCTCCCGAAACTCCTTCTCCTCGGACCCTTTGACCATCCTCAGACACCCTTCCTGGGCCAGCCTTTCAAACTCCAGGGCCCTCGCCCCCTCGGCCTTCCGAACTGGCTCGGGGGAGGCGCTCCTTAAATTGAGCCCCTTCCGGCCGCGTTTTAAAATCGCCCCTGCCAGCAGCGCGGCGAAAGGCATCCTACACGAAGAGGCACTGGTAGACTCCACGCGCTCAACGCGCTCGATTGCCTCGGCTGCAAGAGTGGCCAGGTCGGCCGGCTCAGCCTGGGCAAACAGAACGGCGCGCTTCTAAAC